GTCTGTGGGTACCAAAAGGCCGTGGAACGGGAGCTTCTGTCACATGTATATCAGTCAGACTCGTATAAATCAGATATAAATGTATTTCACCTGATGGATTAGTGCCCTGTAATCTGCACGTTCTCCACCATAAGGTCAATGTAACGGCAATGTTTGCTCACATAATAGTCCTGCAACCACTAATGAATCATCAAGTTTTTTATGATAAACCTCACGAACCATTTTGGCAGCAAGGAGCATTCTTTTATTCTGATTCCATTCCAAGAAATACTGTAAATATTCCTGAATTTTACTGGGCAGTAGCTTCTACAGGGAATCTCTCTCCTTCACAAATACATGCAGTGTTCTTTATATCGGGACACATAGCAGATTCCTTGCAGATTCCTTGCAGGGGGTTTTGTCCTGGTAAGATCCAGAGTGTTTTTAGTGTTTGTGAAAAGTATTGGTTACAATTGAAACATTGTGATGGGCCCACGGATTATCCCGGTACTTGCAGCCACGATGATGTGTCTGACGCCATCTTTATATTGTCTCTGGCCTGTCTCGCAGTAAAGAAGATGGCTGCTTACTTGGAGTGTCTTTACATTATGAGATGCTGAGAACGTTATAATGTCAAATAACGCAGTACAGAGGCTTTGCTGGCTTTCGGAATATTTATGCCCACCTACTGCTGCGTCCCTAAAAACGCATAGAGTATTACACAGAGCCCTAGGTCATGCTTCGCTAGTGCTGTGGTGATGGTCTGACAGCCCAGTACACAGAATATTTATGGTTTATTTTTTACCTGCGCGTTTCGCCTGATCGGCTTCTTCAGACTTCACTAGAGTCCCATGCCCACATGTGATGGTACATGTTGCTCTATGCTTGTGAACGCTCCTCTACATATATAGCATTCAGCTTGGGAATAGCAATATTACTCTCTATATTTTTTTGTATAGTAACACTTACATGTATATTGTATATTATGTGTCCAGCTTACTGCATAGTGCACTTTGGGAATATATCTTGATATTGTGTAATACATGGTTTAAAGTACTTTTCACTTAATTATTTTCTCTATGTTATGGTATTGCACTGTAATACAGTGTGTCAACACTACATACAAGGTCTTAAAGGCACAGCGCACCTTCTTGTTTATTATATGTTTTAGGGGTCTATTTGCAGTCTATTCAAGGAGCATACGTGGCATTATGTGAGGTTGGCATTTTAACAAGCATTATCATTATGAATTTTTAAGGGGGCAATATTTACATAGACCCCTATTTACATAAAGCTCCATGAGACAGAGATCGGGACGCTAGACTTACAGCTCCTCTCCATGAGATGGGATCCCACACAAATATCGTACACAGGAATCAGAAACATACCACGAAATGCAAAGAATGAATAAATAATGGAAGCTATACCCCCCAACAATGACTTGTGCTAGAGATTTACACAAAGACAATGTTAGAGGAGTAGTATTGCGTTTTCACTCAAACCATATTTAAATTAATCATCAAAAGTTGGTGACATGGTTTATTTTTTGTTTGTTTCATTTTTGATTTCTGTTCTGTTTTAATCCAAATTCTAGTCCTGTGTTTTTATTATCAAGATTAAAATTCACAAGGCAATATTTATTGTAAAATAGCTCATGTGGAATAACTCTCCAATTTAGCTCGGCAATTTCTCCCTATATTGAGCCATTTCGATTTCTGTTGGCTCCAATACGGAGTTTAGTGAGTAACTCTGTCTGTACCGTGTTATCAGTATGTGGTTTTATCAATTTATAGATCCGGAGATTCATTTTAGTCTGAACTGCAATTTGTCCAAATACGGCCGAAGAGGTAATTGGTCGAATTTCCGAACTCCAAACTGAAATGTTCCTGAAAACAAGCTGAATAAGCCGCACAATGGACAAACATGTTGGTTTAGATTCATGATTCAGAATTCATCCCATGGCGAGAAAAATATTAAAGAAATGGTTGATGAGAAAAGATGACTAATGGCTGGTGGGCCGTCTCTATATTTATATTTTGTTCACGGATGAAGTGAGAAATGAGCAACAGAGAGAAACCATCTAATAATCTATATTTTTAGATGAATATATTATAAATTGAATACATATCTATATACTCCTCGAGTTTTTCCCTAAAATGGTTACTTTTTCTCACTTGAAGTATGAACCAAATGGTGAGAAATTGCTGCTATCCGTGAACCGCAAGATAAAATTAAAGGGACAATTTAGGCACCATAACAACTTCATCTAACAACAGTTGTTATGGTGCCAGGAGATCCCAGCCTCACTCCTACCTCAAGGGGTTAAACCGTTCTCAAAGAGTTTAACACTAAAGTTGCCCCCAGCCCCGATCTCAGCTCCCTCCAGGCGGCATTCGACTTCTGAAATGTCACTTTCGGGAAGCGTAGAGTGGCGCAGGGCAAGGGCGCCGCTGATTGGCTGAGAGCGGTCCGCTGACACTCTCAGCCATTCAGTGACTCCGCATTCACAAAACTGGCTTGGAAAGAAAGGTAACCTTTTCATATCAATCCCTGACTAATCTAACAGGTGTATTCACTAAGGGCTTGAGCTTCATCGGCAAACAAGGAGAAACATTGTGTCCCAAAGTACGGAACAAACTAATTCTAATATTGTTACTAATTTGCAGTGAATCTATACCGAAATATATCTATTTACTTCTTTATATCGCTAATTTTGATTTCAATTAGAGGACTTGCGGACTAAAATGTGCAATTTAGTACACCTAGCATTGGGCTCCCTCTAGTGTACAAATTGTAATACTGCAGTTACAATACACAATGCCTACATACATCACTGGCTCCCAATGTATTATTCATCAACGAGACAAACTCTCCACTTGTTACCTGATGTTTTCCTTTTACCTTCAACTATTATTATTATATTTAAATGGTCTTTTCAAGATATTCAGCATAACCTTATAGCCGCAGTTAGAATACACTGTGTGCGGGGAGACAGGGAACCTCCTTACACCATAACCTTATAGCTGCAGTTATAATACACTGTGTGCGGGGAGACAGGGGACCAGCTTACACCATAACCTTATAGCTGCAGTTATACACTGTGTGCGGGGAGACAGGGGACCTCCTTACACCATAACCTTATAGCTGCAGTTATAATACACTGTGTGCGGGGAGACAGGGGACCTCCTTACACCATAACCTTATAGCTGCAGTTATAATACACTGTGTGCAGGAGACAGGGGACTTCCTTACACCATAACCTTATAGCTGCAGTTATAATACACTGTGTGCAGGGAGACAGGGGACCTCCTTACACCATAACCTTATAGCTGCAGTTATAATACACTTGTGCGGGGAGACAGGGGACCTCCTTACACCATAACCTTATAGCTGCAGTTATAATACACTGTGTGCGGGGAGACAGGGGATCTCCTTACACCATAACCTTATAGCTGCAGTTATAATACACTGTGTTCGGGGAGACAGGGGACCTCCTTACACCATAACCTTATAGCTGCAGTTATAATACACTGTGTGCAGGGAGACAGGGGACCTCTTTACACCATAACTTATAGCTGCAGTTATAATACACTGTGTGTGGGGAGACAGGGGACCTCCTTACACCATAACCTTATAGCTGCAGTTATAATACACTGTGTATGGGAGACAGGGGACCTCCTTACACCATAACCTTATAGCTGCAGTTATATTACACTGTGTGCAGGGAGACAGGGGACCTCCTTACACCATAACCTTATAGCTGCAGTTATAATACACTGTGTATGGGGAGACAGGGGACCTCCTTACACCATAACCTTATAGCTGCAGTTATATTACACTGTGTGCAGGGAGACAGGGGACCTCCTTACACCATAACCTTATAGCTGCAGTTATAATACACTGTGTGCGGGGAGACAGGGGACCTCCTTACACCATAACCTTATAGCTGCAGTTATAATACACTGTGTGCGGGGAGACAGGAGACCTCCTTACACCATAACCTTATAGCTGCAGTTATAATACACTGTGCGCGGGGAAACAGGGGACTTCCTTACACCATAACTTATAGCTGCAGTTATAATACACTGTGTGCGGGGAGACAGGGGACCTCTTTACACCATAACCTTATAGCTGCAGTTATAATACACTGTGTGCGAGGAGACAGGGGACCTCCTTACACCATAACCTTATAGCTGCAGTTATAATACACTGTGTGCGGGGAGACAGGGGACCTCCCTTACACCATAACCTTATAGCTGCAGTTATAATACACTGTGTGCGGGGAGACAGGGGACCTCCTTACACCATAACCTTATAGCTGCAGTTATAATACACTGTATGCGGGGAGACAGGTGACCTCCTTACACCATAACCTTATAGCTGCAGTTATAATACACTGTGTGCGGGGAGACAGGGGACCTCCTTACACCATAACCTTATAGCTGCAGTTATAATACACTGTGTGCGGGGCGACAGGAGACCTCCTTAAACCATAACCTTATAGTTGCAGTTATAATACACTGTGTGCGGGGAGACAGGGGGCCTCCTTACACCATAACCTTATAGCTGCAGTTATAATACACTGTGTGCGGGGCGACAGGAGACCTCCTTAAACCATAACCTTATAGTTGTAGTTATAATACACTGTGTGCGGGGAGACAGGGGACCTCCTTACACCATAACCTTATAGTTGCAGTTATAATACACTGTGTGGGGAGACAGGGGACCTCCGTACCTTATTATACAGAGGAGAAGACACAGAAGCGATGCAATGTGTGCCTTGGCTGTGCCAGGGCTGAGCTGGATTGTGAGTGTGTTCTATTCTACAACATACAGATATTTACCTATATCTATAACATCTAACACCAGAAATGTTGATTGTCTTTGTTCGTTTTACATATATCCCTCGGATGAGTATATCACACAGTAGGCAGCCTATGCATTCCAAATGTTATGGACTATATCTCCCATGATGCTTTGCTTGCAGTAAGAGTATTATGGGGACTGTACATTAATACACAATATATTTGTTTTGAATATTTTTATTGTGTGCATAATATAAAGTCATACATCAGATGAGTTTGTAGTAAAGCAAGTGTTTGCCCACGCAGGGGCTCAGATATTAGTTTAACGCTGCACATACATTTGGTTGCCTGCGCAGAGGCGGAGTTGTCTTAACTTGCGTTTTTGTTCACAGGTGGTTGCTTTGTGTTTTATGCTCTTATGTATCGTGTTGCCTTATTAGTTCAATTATAGCGTTAAGTATGTGTTTTATATTAACTAGTGTATGTCAGTGCTGCGTGTTTGCTAGTTGGTAAATGCACATTGTCTCCTATACAGAGGCAAATTAATCAGCTTGCTAAGTAGAGTCAGGCGATAAGCAACAATCTGCGTTACAGAAACTTTTTTCTACTTTCATCATTAGGAGCACATTTGTTTGCAGTCTGCTGCCTTAAGGGATAACAGAGCTGTTTGGATATCAGGTTTACGGTACTAAGCGGAAATTAATCAGCTTGCTAATTATAGTCAGACATTAAGCAACAATCTAAGCTACAAAAGCTTTTTCAACTGTCAGCATAAGGAGCATATTTGTTTGCAGTCTGCTGCCTTAATAGATAATAGAGCTATTTGGATATCAGGTTTACAGCAATAAGCGACTGTACCGTCTATCATGTGGCAGTCAGTGATCAAATATGCTATCAAACCGCACTTTCCCCTGGTAATTCAAAAACAGCATCATATTAGCGAAATAGATACGAACTGAATGCAGCTGTTAAGACACACGTACGAGCTATCCATTGAAAACTTATTCGCATTAAAACGGCATTAACTATAATCATGAATAAAAGCCCCTGAGTAATCTTTATATATATCTGGGCTTATGTGAGGAACTTCTCAAGTGTCCAGAATTGCACATGAGCTTGCTTATAGGTGTGGGGGAGTGTCTTTAACTATGTGAATTAGCCCGCGGGTGGTTGTCCCATAGAAGCCGCAGTAAGTGCCATATGAGCAGCGGCTATGCAGGTGATAAAACCTAACTGTTTTACGCCCGTGTGGCTCAGGTATTTAATCGAAGCAGGTCTTTGCTATGGGCAAGCTTTATACAGTTTAGAGTGTAATAAACATTATGTAACCTCAGTGAACAAATGCCTCAGGGGGCAATTCTAAGCAAGAAACTATATACTTATTCACATTAAAACATCTTAATTATCTAATAGTATAGACGCTATATTACTTATCAATCTGATACCAGCGGTAACTATTGGTGTAGTATGTAAGCCATGTCGTGAAGTTAGGGTCTGAGTATCTTATGTTGCAGTTCGGTTATTAGACAAGCTCTAATTAACGGCATTAGGCGTATGCCCTCCGGGGCTCTTTGGCGTGGGATGTCGTCCTGTGTGACAGTCCCAGGTCTCACATGCCTCTGCTACAGCACAGTCCCAGGGTTGCCGAACCTCCTTCCGTCTTCTCCCCGCCTACTCCAGTCCGCTGGCTGCGTCCTCCACTGTGCCGTGGGCACCCAAGGGCTGAGGCCGTCCACTCGACCCCACCACAAAGTCTGTGGCCCGCCCGCCCTCTGCACCTCCCCAACACCGTGTCGTTCCACACAGAGTGTGTTCCCCCAAGTCTCTCCCGCTGTCGGCCTCACTCTTGGGGCCGGTATACGTATCTCACGGCCACCGGTCCGCCGGAAGGGCAGCACACTCCTGCCCCACAGGGCTCGCGGCAGCGGGGACATAGCTCTCCGGGGACCCCCATACCCGGATGCCGGGGTACTCACTGCTCCAGCGGGTGCAGGGTAAGCGCGAAGGTTCCATCCGGCGTCAGCTTCACCTGTGCCTGTATGAGCAGTTCATGCCAGACCCCCCTAGCGAGTGCGCTGTTCCGCCTCACCCTCTGGGCCCCCACCAGCTCATAGTTCTCCTTTGTCATGGTGCACTTTCTCCATCTTGTCTGCCTCTTTAGTCCCTATGGTCCATTTTCCTGGTGGGCCCCATCCTGGCAGCCTTTGCCAGTGTAGGGGTGCAGAATGGTGCTCTCCCCGTGAGGGTCCAAGCCCTCTTGCAACCGATCTGGGTGCCTCCTCGGGTGAGTGTTTCAGCCCCTCCGCGGGCACCTCTAATGTTGCTGGCTGGCTGAGTGTCATGCAGCCGGTGCCAGTGCAGGCGGTCGGCATCCGGACCGCATGGGGACCCCCGCTGCGGCCCGTGCCTCCGCCTGGAGGCCGAGATATCCCCCGCCGGCCAAAAAAGGGGGGGGGGGCAGGGCCGTGCCCCGGGCCGCATATCTCCCCCTGTCGAGGTGTCTATAGTGGGACGCCACTGTTCTCTGCTCCGCAGCGCCGTGTTGCCTGTAATGGCCGCCGGTATTCTGGCACTCTGCCTCGTGTAGGCCGGGCCCGGCCCTCTCTGCTTGCCTGGCTTGCGGTGGGCATCGTGCAGGTATCGGGGGTAAGCTGGTGCCGTTCTCTGTTTGAATCTGGCGGAGTATAGCATAGTTAGGCAGTCTGGGGTGATTGCTTTAGTGCCTTTTTTATCCGCTTAGTGCAGGAGCTCATGTTAATGGCGTCCATTCGGCCCGGCGGCCCGGCCCCGCCCCTACACAATATATTTGTATTGTTTAGGTTTACATAGTATCATGTCCAGTGTATACCTATTAACTGTTTGTTGTTGTTCTAATGTTAAATATTAACTTTACCATTTTATTATAATATTGCACTTATCTTGTGTTTTTGCACACAGCACTTTATTTAGAAGTTTTACACGACTTTGTATTTATTTGTATTATAGGAGATGCAGTACACAATATCCACAGTGCTGAAGCTTGCGTACTCCTGGAGTATGTGATACATAAGCTTTGAAAAATAGTGAAACAAGTTTTAAAAAAAGGTTAATGCATGTTATAAGTGATTTTCAATGTTTTATTTTCAATGAGGTTATTTCTAACGAAGGTACAGTTCCCTTCGCTGAACAGATATTGCTTTTTGGCGAGGAGAGAGAAGTTCAGATTGTGAGTTTGTCCGACTCAGGGATCTACGTGGAGAGATCACCAGATAGACCAAGTGTTTTATTCTGATTGCATCCAGCTATCACCATTACTCTAAGAGCCGGCGTCCACCAAGTCCTCCCAGAAGCCATACTGCCCCCTTCTGATAGTCTGGTTTTTGATTTTGTGATGATGGGAGCTTTCAAAATGGAGTCCGTCACGCTACCCCAATACATATTGGCTGAGAGTTCTGCAGGGTTTCTTCCATGGTCACACAAGGTCTGGTATGTAACCCATTATTTAAACCCGCTGCTTTCCCCCGCTCGTTACTGTTGGGCACATTGCGTTTATTTATGGCGACACAGAACGAGACACATTAAACGCCCTTTCACCCATCCATAGCACAAAAAGCAGGTCAGAGATCAGCCAGTTGACTGTTCCTCAAAGACACTAGCGTACATTTTTCTCACCTTGTTCTGCGTGTGATTTCTCCATGACGTCAGTCGGCAGTGTACTCGTTTTTAGGCTGAGTTTTGCATTTTTTTTCTTGCCAGTATAATGAGTTGTGGTTTGCAGTTTACTTCCTGCTCATGCTAGAACATTGCAATTAAAACCAGGCTGGATGTCTTGATTCCTCCGAGACTGGGTATGCAGGCATCGATTGGTGACAAATGGACCTTAATATTACCAAACCAACAGGATCAGACTATCCGCAAGGTAGGTATTCTGCAACTAATCAGATGTATGAAATAATCGAGCATCTTAGGGTTTACTCAGTAAAACTAACCAGCAGATTGCAGTGATTAGACAGAAATTGCTGAATTAAAACACATTCTCCATGTATGAAGTGACCCTGTGCTAGGGCAGCTTAGAAAAATAAAGTGGCAATGCTGGTGGCTCTGGCAAAGCCCTCAAACCTCAGACCATCAATGAATCTATGTCTGATACATTAAATTCAGCTGATCAGTGGGAACAATTATGGAAAATCAATTCTGCAAGAATGCATTAAAAATTACTACATTTCCCAAGAGCCTTTGGCCTTAAGAGACCTAATAATACAATGTGACAGATTAGGCGAATTTGTGCCATAGCAGGCAATAGTGTACAAAGGAGCTTGCAATCTAATGATCTAAAGGGTGACCCACTCTAGGAAGCTGTAATCCGGTATAATAATGGGATAAACGCATTCAATGTATCAATAAATTGCATAACCCTACTCAACAAAAGCTTACATTACAGCAAAATAGACGACAAAGCTGAGATCTGAGCAGAAGAGCTTGTAATTTAATGTTATTATTAAATCTGTCCAGAAGAGTTTACAATCTATGGTTATGATGAGATCAATCCAGCAGAGCTTACAATCTAGTGTTATATTTGGTCAGAAGAGCTTACCAAATATAACATATGGTTATGATATCTGGTCAGAAGAGCTTACAATCTATGGTTTTGATGAGATCCATCCAGCAGAGTTTACAATCTAGTGTTATATTTGGTCAGAAGAGCTTACAATCTATGGTTATGATATCAGGTCAGAAGAGCTTACAATCTATGGTTATGATGATATCCATCCAGCAGAGCTTACAATCTAGTGTTATATTTGGTCAGAAGAGCTTACAATCTATGGTTATGATATCTGGTCAGAAGAGCTTACAATCTATGGTTATGATGAGATCCATCCAGCAGAGCTTACAATCTATGGTTATGATGAGATCCATCCAGCAGAGCTTACAATCTATGGTTATGATGATATCCATCCAGCAGAGCTTACAATCTAGTGTTATATTTGGTCAGAAGAGCTTACAATCTATGGTTATGATATCTGGTCAGAAGAGCTTACAATCTATGGTTATGATGAGATCCATCCAGCAGAGCTTACAATCTATGGTTATGATGAGATCCATCCAGCAGAGCTTACAATCTATGGTTATGATGAGATCCATCCAGCAGAGCTTACGATCTACAATCTAGTGTTTTCAAGCATTGTAGGTTAAGACCCTGTGAGCCATGGTATACCTGCAGTGAAGCACAGAGGATTCCCCAATATTATTGTGAGTGTACACCTACAGATTTCCATAATTAAAATGAACCTTTTTACCAGAGTAGCACAGCTCTGTGGCAGAGTTAGCATGGTGGTGAGGCAGGAGAGCCCTGTGTGAGTGGGATGTCTGACAGAATAATGAGTGATTTATGTGTGAATTAATAAGTGAGAAATGTGTTTAATTTTACCCAGTCAGCATTACATCAAATTAATGAGGGTGGAACGGAAAGAAACACACCGTAGAATGTGATAGAATTGTGCAAATAGTTGAAAAATGTTATTTTCATACCACACAAAAATAGAGGAGCATAATACCAAATCCCAGAATGGTACCTGGTACACGGTAACGTGGCACTTACTCATAGACGATCTGTTGTAGTTTTCATAGTTTACTTTAACTACTTCGTTATTTTTTTAATCAGAACACAACAATCGTTCTGAAAATGTGAAAATATTCCTATTGCAGACTTGTGATCTCTCTTCTTTTATAGTCTTACATCTTTTTATCCACTTTGTCTTGTAGAGTTCCCAACGGTTTTCTTCACAACTTTCAAAGCCATGTCTATAGAGAGTGACGATGTCCCACCCTCTAGCCAGCCTAGCCATTCTGAAGAGGCTACCAAGGAGGCCGGTGCTGGACCTCTGGTAAATATATCATTATTTAATATCACTATGCTGTTTTCTTTAATGTCTTTCATGTTGTTTGTGATGAAATGCCAGCATTATAAACACTGCAGATCAGTCTAGTGGTTATGATTCAAAGAGGCTTTGGGTGGAGTTCCTGTGTGAGCATGTTTTGGCCACAAACAAGGCTCACTCGTACTCATTGACCACTTGCTCTTCAGCTACCATGATGATATGAACACTATACTTCCTCATTATGAACCAATTATATCCAATGACAGGCTGAGGGGACCAGTGCCTCAGCTCTTCATTGCCTTTCATGGAGGGCCATCTGATGGTCACCTGGTGGAAGCAGGGGATGAATGGCGTGGGTGACAACTGAGAATAGCGGAGATGTTCACTAGGATTTAAGGGGGCAGAGGGACAGTTGCTGTAATAACCCAGGGAGGACTTTATTACCAATGGGATTAGCATTTTGATCCTATCTGGTGTTAACAATAGGCAGGAAATAAAAGACCAGGAAACAGGTTTAATGAATGTAACATGGAGGCAGTCATGCTGTTAGACAGAACGTGGTGTTATCTAAAATTGGAATCCGGTGTAGCACTGTGAAAGATCCAATGGCCAGCCTAGTACATTGTGGTGGAGGACCACTGTCTCCAGATAAAAACCGAAATAGTAAAGAATCCAAGGGCTCAACGGGATAGGAACGTAACTGTAGGTTTATTGGAAACTGAACAAAAAAATAAAAATACAAAGTTTCGGCACAAAGCTTTAATCGTGATATTGTTGTGTTCCTGTTTCGTGCCTACACTCCTGAGCCGACGGATTCTTTACTATTGTTATCTAATTAGCAATAGATCGGACTTGTATTAGCGCAGTAGCAGCCTATGTAGCAGTCAGGGCGGGACACCCGTATAAAGATTTCACAAGAAGAATGTCTACGTAGCAAGGAGAGAGTCCTCCAGCACACTCCGACTAGGCACAAGCGATTATTGCTAATAATCTAATGTGATAGGGATTTCACATGTTGTGGTAGAATAAGATGGAGAAAATGGAGAAGGGCAGATCGGGAAGAAGAGGGAATTCACGTGCGATATCGAACAATGCTAGAGAGAGGAAAATGCAATCACTGCAGAGGCTCAGGGGCCGATTAGACACACACCAAGTCTGCCAGCCAACTGGAACTGGACGTAAAAGTGCCTATTTACTTTCCAGGTTTTGGTTTTAAATTAATCAAGATATAGGGAGCATAAGGAAAGGCAACATTAGAAGTGAGCTAAAGATTTCCTGGCTGATAGGTCTCGTGAGATGAACGCAAGATCAGCTGAACTAAATAATCGTCATTGAGGAGACAGAGACAGGAAGATCAGCGACTTGATGGAGGTGCTGAAACAATGGAGAATGAAAGCCAACAGCTGAGGTCGGATGTCGTGCCGCCATTTCTCGGCCATCTCCAGCATGCTATGAGTGCTGATAATGGACGCAAACTATGCACAGATTTAAACAAACACTTTATTTTAGGAATAGAAAAATTGTAATGGATCACCTGGCACCCCGACTGGTACCTCCGTTGAAGGATGATCTTAGCGCTTCTTGAGGACCCCAAGCACTCTAGCAACCACCGCAGGCCGAACCTCTCTTCCTTCAAAGCGAAGCAGGAACAAGCCTTTACAAGAGTTTAGGAGTGATAAAAGCAAGGGAATATGCAGAGTATAGCAATCCCTTGTAGCAGATTCCCCCAATTAGAGACAGGACTCCAAATAGAGGGTGAATTAGAACTGTATAAAACTTAAATTTACTTGGGACTAGCCCATATGGTCATTACATTGCCATTGCTGTGAACACTCGATAAAATTACAAACAGTCAAATCATAGCAGGCAACATACAGTGACTTATTATAACATAATTACATATTTATAAATGGGTGGGAAAGACCATAATTAACAC